TGTGGACCTGTGGGTTGCGTAGATCTCTAACCATGAGCGAGAGCCAATAAACTCCCAAGCTTTCACAAGGTTCAAATAATTCCATTTATATGATGTTTGCTTAATCACATCTGGCAATTCGGAGTTTTGTGTGGTATTTCGGCTCAAACACTCGAAGAGCACCCCCAAGTAGCAGCTGCCCCTGTGTGGTACAAGGTGGTGGCCCTGCACCGGCCTGCATGTAGACGAGCCTGTCAGTAGGGGGCGATGGTTGATATGGCATCTCAGTTGTGGAGTTTGTAGGTAATATTTAGAATTTGATAAATTTTGACCCAGACGCCAGCATGCAATGGCCTACTCGTTTTTGAATGGCGCAATAGTATGTTGTACATTGTTAAGCGGTTTTTTTTAAATAGCTTCTTGTTAGTACGATGTAACCTGATGCAGTGTATTTCACTGCAGTAATTCAATTTTGTTAATATGCCTGTCAATAATTTAGAATTAATGCTTGTCTGATTGTGTGCGTACATGTAACATTGTCTATAAGGGTCAAACATTGAATAAGTGATGTTAGGACAAAGTGTGTGTTTTGGAAGTAACCTGTACACACAACTCAGGAGAGACTCATTGTTTTTGTGATACAGGTCAAAGGATATTTTTTGTGTTTTCAGGAAGCATCTCCCTCTGGAGCAACTCATTGTCTTTGAAATAGGGAGCACACTCGGATCATTAATCAGTTACAAGGAATACCACTCAAAAGTTACACGTAGAGGAGATACATTCTCTACAACACGAATTATAATTTTGTATTACGTGTTGACGTAAATTTTGTCGAACTAGGACATGAAATGGTCCTTGCTGATTAACGTCTGGATGTTCACAACCAAGGGCTTGAAGCAAACCTGACTGCCTGCGGTGCCCCTCACAACCATTTAGGGCCTTGGGCCAGGAAAGTCACGGAAGAAATTGCACACGAAGGACGTCTCCACGCAAGCACCTGAAGCTCCGTTTTGAAGTTTGAAAATGAAACAACTTTGAATTGTGTTATGTTTTGAATTGGATAATTGCATTTCTTCATTAAAAGCTTCTTCATTGAAAACCATATTTCGTCTTCTTGGTTCTTTCGGTAAAGTCACGTAGGATGGAAACAAAGTAATAAAACAAAATAACATTCTCACGACGTTTCGGCCACAACACAAGTAGCCTTCATCAGGTGAAGAAACAGGTCTGTCCAGAGGACAGCGCTTGAGTGAACGCTGCCAAGCAAAGACCGCGTCTTTATTAAAGGTGTGTGGGCGGAGTTAATTAGCATGTTACCCAGCCGCCACCTTGGTTGCAGAGCAACCAAGGTGCGTTGCTCTGTCCTGTGCTGCACCATAACCATGTTATAAACTAGACTAATATACAATGCAATATTATACCTTCCAATTTTTAAGCTACATGGCATAATATCATATCAGAAAAATTCCACCTTTGAATTATGCAATGCGTTACTTTACGCTATATTTCACTATATTTCATGTGAAGTGTCTCTAGTCGTTAAGTGGATGGCCTTGCCGGGGGTTCGGTTCGATGCGGACTTTCACCTGGCTGGGATCGCGGGATCGAGACGAGGCGACACAGAGCTGCTGGCCGTGCGAGAAGACCGCCGTCTGCAGATCGATTCCAACGTGATCAAACGTCTGTCCCTGCGTCTCCGTCGTTCATGCAGGGGGCGCGTAGAGGTCTGCAGCGCCCCCTGCATGAAAACGACGGAACGTACAGCGTGAGTCACGTGAAGTTGTGCGTAAGCGCCATAACAAGGCGCTGTCAGCTGACCTGCCACCACGTTCACGGGTCAGCAGGGGGCAGCCGAGAGAGAGCGAGGTGTGTAGGGGTCGACCAAAGTAAACCCCTGCCCCCCCCGTGACCGGAGACTCACACCCCTGACCCCCCACCCGTCCCTAAGTCCCCTTAAGATAAGACCTTCCAGAAGCTTCTGGGAGGGGGGGGGGGGTCAGGAGTGGAGGGGTGACCCCGACCTGGGGATAAAAGGCCGGCCCTCTGGACGGGCCGAGGCAGTGTTCACCAACTCAAGCCTGAAGACATCCAAAGACCTGAAGACTGGACCAGCACCCGGCAACCCTCAACCGAGGCTCTTTTTAGAGCCGGGTTGTAGCGGACCAAAGGTGGCTCGGACACGCTGGGACCCTCCCCGAGCTCTAGCCAGAGCCGGGTTGTAGCGGACCAGAGGTGAGCTCCCGTACCCGGGCTGGGACGGGTCGTCCAGTCTTCCCTTAACGCCGGGCTAAGGGATCCCGTGGGTAGCAGAGCCCAGAGTGTGCAGGCTGCAATAGAAGGGAGGCTGTCGCTCCCGGAGGCTATCGGGTGGAAGGGGCCATACCCCTGTCGTGTTACGGTATTGTGTAGAGCCGAGTTTGAAAGAGTTGTTATAATAAACGCGTTGCCTCAACCAGACGTCTCCGTGTGATTAGTTAAGGACACAACACTTGCATAAAAAAGAATAGCCAGTGGGTTTTCAAAGTACCTTCGTCTTACAAAAATCAATTTCGCGTGAGCCCACCGCATTAAAACGATGCTCAGCTGAGCAGGGCGAGCCACGTTGGGGGGGGGGTCACCTTATCTTTGTCACGTGCCGTAGCTCACGTGACTTCTGCCGCGACAATGTCTGGATGTTTTCGCCTGAGGACGACCTCTGGTGTTGCGATCGAAACGTCGCGATTGATTTTTTTCGTTTATTTCTACCTGCGTGAATTTACCGAAAGAACCAAAGGATATGAAAGACGTCTTGTCTGCTGAGCTTGTTCATATCCGTGTACATCGATGTCCCACATTGCTTACACGGACACACCACACACAATGAAATAAATAGAAACTAGAACGACTTAATTCCGGGGATGGGCAAAGATTGAGGAATCTCTTTCAATGGAGCGAGTTAAGTTTGTGCTCGATTCGACATCTCTCTGTCCGTCTGTGTCTCTGTTCCCCTCTGTGTCTCTCTCTCGCTGACTGTGTCTCTGTGGTCTCTGTATCTTTCATTCTGTCTTCCTCTTGTCTGTGTCTGTCCACCTCTCTCTCTTGTCAGTCTCTGTGTGTGTCTCTATCAGCGTCTTTCCAACTGTATTCAACTACCAACAGTAGCAACATGCGCCCGTTCAACTTTCATGGGCCCACGACTGCACGCGACTCAAACTTGCTCCGAGTCTGTGTTTATCTGGAACTTCTTTCGCACCGTACGTAGCCGAACCTGCACAGGAGGAGCTGCTGGTATCTGTGGAGCTGTGGGCTGGGTACCATCTGTCGGCGTCAGCGAGAGACGATGAAGCTCCCAAGCATTTCACTACGTTACCAACATCATATTTGCACGCATAAGTCGCTTGCCTAATTGTGTCTTTCTTATCGAATCTCATCTCAAACAATCGAAGGACGCCTCCCCCTAAGTGGCAGCTGCCCTTGTGTGGCACAAGGTGGCCCTGCACCGGCCTGCACGTGGACATGAGTCTGTCGGTAGGGGGCGATCATTGACGCGCCATCTCCGTTGTGCGGTTTCTGGATAATGTTTGAAATTGCCACAATTTTGACCGTGACACCGACATGCAACGACCTGTGCGTCGTGAATGACACAACGCTATGTTTTTACATCTGCCGTGAAGCAGACTGCGCATATTGTGGTGCATGTTACTGGGGTAGCCAGGTGTGCCTGTCGCATTTGAACCTTGAACCTCTGCAATAAATAGAGAATGCGCGTCCATATTCTTGGTTCTTCTGATAAAGTCACGTCGATAGAAAACAAAAATAAAGGGAAAAAACGCGTTTATTTTTATTACTTAAATTGTCATTATTTTATTTTTCTTTAATGTAACATGTTTTTTTTTAATTTACGCGACTTTACCGAAAGAACCCAAGAATATGAATTCCTGCCAGTCACGAAAGTTTTAAGTCAAAATAGAATGCACCACCAACTCGGCTCGCGTCAATCTGCGTGGAGGCGTGGGGGGGCCTGAGAGAGTTTCTCACCGGCGCAGAACTTCCATGCAGAGGGCTCCACGCAGCTTCGTGCGGAGCGACAGGCCAGGTAGCTCCCACACAGCGTGGCGCAGCTGATTAACATTTATATTGTTGGTTATTTTGGTAAAGTCACGTAGATAGAAAATAACAAAAAAATTTGAAAATAATACATTGATGAAAAGATGCCATTTGTCGACTGACTGAGATGACTGTGCCCACCTATGTGCACACGCACACAGTGCACACACACACAGTGTACACACACACACAGTGTACCCACACAGTGTACACACACACACTGTGTACACACACACACTGTGTACAAACACACAGTGTGTACACACACACAGTGTACACAGACACACAGTGTGTACACACAAAGTGCACACACACAGTATAAACACACACAGTGTGTACACACACACAGTGTACACACAGTGTACACACACACAGTGTACAAACACACAATGTACAAACACACACAGTGTACAGACAGTGTATAAACACACACAAAGTGTACAAACACACACGCAGTATGCACACACATTGTACACACACAGTGTACACACACACACAGTGCACACACAGTGTGTGTACACACACACACAGTGTACACACACAGTGTACACAAACACACAGTGTACACAAACACACGCAGTGTACACACACAGTGTACACACACACACTGTGTACACACACACACACAGTGTGTACACACACACAGTGTACACAAACACACAGTGTACACAAACACACAGTGTACACACACACAGTGTACACACACAGTGTACACACACACAGTGTACACACACACACACAGTGTGTACACATACACACAGTGTACACACACACAGTGTACACACACACAGTGTACAAACACAGTGTGCACACACAGTGTGTACACACACACACAGTGTACACACACCCAAGGGGTCTCTGTTCAAGGGAGGGAGCAATGGAAAATGAATCTAAATCAACTTAAACTTCAACCCCTCTCTGTGACGTCACCACTCACCATAACCTCATCGGCGTGAAACGCCAGGGGGATGTGTACCTAGCTAGTGACGTCATGTCACCAAGGTGTTCACCCCACCCCGTCCAAGGCGCCCTTGAACGTGACGTCACCTCTGCCTGGGTCGCTGCCGTTTTCTGTTCAAGTAGAATCATATTTGGGCAAGGTCACGCCCAGTGACTGGCGGCTCATTAACATAATCTATTCATGTACTGAGGCGCTTATTGTGGGAGGGGAGTGTTATCGTTCCCCACAAGTGACGTCATGTCACCTCTTGCTGCCGCGTGACATCACGAGATAACAGAAAGCTGCTGCTCCACCTGTGCACTGAAATCCGAGGTGAGAAATTCTCATCGCGGTTGTGGTTGTAGTGGTGGTGGTGGTTGTTGTGTTGGTGGTTGTTGTTTACCGAGGTAGAGCCTCGCTCTCTCTCTCGTAGGGATGTCAATTGAGTAGCAGCGAGCGTGGAAGCGATGTCCAGGTTGCAACTTTACAGCGCGGGGCCTAGCCACGCGGAGCCTTGCCTCCTGCCCTCGCCTGGTCGCGTTTGCTTCAATTATCTCGCTTAAGTTTAATTTGTCTTCAGGCGGCTCGCCACTTTGTCACTTTGTTTTACTTTTAAATATTCACGCGGTTTTTATTTATTTTTATTTTTTACACCAGGCCAAGCCCGCTTGAGCTGCTGTGCCGCTTTTGTTTTCAGAAGCGACCTGCCCACAACACAACACAAGGTGAGGCTCCTCAACAGCGTGGCGGTGTTCACTCTGGACGCGTGGCGGTGTTCACTCTGGACGCGTGGCGGTGTTCACTCTGGACGCGTGGCGGTGTTCACTCTGGACGCGTGGCGGTGTTCACTCTGGACGTGTGGCGGTGTTCACTCTGGACGCGTGGCGGTGTTCACTCTGGACGCGTGGCGGTGTTCACTCTGGACGCGTGGCGGTGTTCACTCTGGACGCGTGGCGGTGTTCACTCTGGACGCGTGGCGGTGTTCACTCTACTTGGTGGAGTGAGGAAGCATGAATTCTGTGCAGGTGAAGGTGGCCAGGCATGGGTCTGGACACACCACCACCTTTTGAACCGTGCCAGTGCGTGACAGTGGTGGAGCCAGTGGGGGTGGGGTAGGCACGTGCCCCCCAACGATCCGATCGAAATCCCTAATTTCGATAGGATCATTGGGGTTTATTAGTAACTAGCTTCACTACCCGGCTTCGCCCGGGACTTGGATTCTTGTCTTGGATAAATTTCATATTCCCTTATATTTCACTGAAAAACCCTTAAAAATGTTGATGCTTGCAAGAAAGAAAAAAGCCGAATCAAATCAAGTTACCTAAATCGGATGTTTTCACTCAAGGAAATTTAACCTTAATCCACTACTACGCAAGGTCGATTTTGGCCACTCGGGAAGGGAAGAATGACGTGGCGAGCTGAAAATAGTCACGTTCACTTAGAAATTCCAAACAGCATAAGCTGTGAAAATTTCACGACGCCAGAGCTCAGCGTTGGAGAGGTTTTGCTGCTTCACACAAACAAACAGATGTAATGTTCTGCTTCATATTTAAGATAGCAGTTCTACCCGTTCTTTGCACGGAGGATATGTATTAAAACTCCGAGAAACCAATGGCTTCATCGGCCAGGAGCGAAGCGCCACCTAAAATCTCCCGGCACGCTGTTAACAGCCCTATCTATGCTGCCAAATACATCTTTCCCTGGATGTTCTTCCCTGTGTATGTATCTCTGCTGCCTTGTACCTCGTATCTGTTCACTCTGTCTATGCTGGTTTGTTCAACCCGGAGGATGAACACGAAATTTAGCAGTCTTCTGAAATTCGTGGTCTACCAGGCAAGTGTCTAACTGTGTTGTTGTCCTACTGGTTTTGCATCACGTAATTTTTCTTAGGTTTGTTGAGTTCTCGTCTCTCATCTTCTTGTTGTATTTGCCTCCGTGCAGTTTAACGCTCTCTATCTGTTGCGTTGATGTCACCCTATGTGCTCACTCGCTATTTGTTTTTAACACCTGATGATGATCGCTTGTGTTGCGTTCGAAACGTCGTGATTTATTTCTATATAATATTGTTATATTTCTACATTCACTACGTTACCGAAAAAACCAATGAGTAATTTATGCAGTCACGAAAGCTTCAATTCTATATTCATTGCAGAGCGCTTAACTCAGGTGTGTTGCGGGTTGACGCCACAATCTTCATGGTCATACAAAATACAAATGTCTATTTTTATACTTGTTTCATTGTGCACGGTATGGAACCTACCGACATGCCAAATTTCAAGTGTGTAGTATGTCGGGAAGTATGCTAAACATTTCTAACAGACACACGCACACACACGTATCCACACATTTCCCTTTTATATATAGGCTAGCTTTACTACCCGGCTTTGCCCGGGACTTTGATTCTTGTCTTGGATTAAAACACGGCCTTCGCAGAGTGTTGGGTGGGGGGGTGTGCGTGACGTCAGCAGGCACACTGCGTAACGCTGCCGCATAGGGTGACATCTCAGATATGACGGCTATTTTAATACTTTGTGCATTGTGTCCAGTCTGGAAGCTACCCACGTGCCAAATTTCCAGTTTGTGTTGCATGTTGGCAAGTATGGTGGACATTTCAAACAGACACACATTCACAAATTTCCCTTTTATAATTAAAGATGAATCACCATTTTGCAACCTCCGCTGCCACCGCGTGGCATATTATTACGTGCCAGGGACTCTATGAGAGGACAACAGTCCGTGTTCATAATTGGCAATAAGTAACAGCAAAGCAGTTACAAGCGACTCTTAGAATTGTGCGCAGTTGCGTATACAGTACACGACTTCCCTGAAGGCAAACACCTTCAGCGAGCGCGATGGGTTGAATAAAAAGCATTGGACAAGTCCTTGCTTAGTAACAACTCCTGACTTACAACTCCTTACTTACTAACAACTCCTTACTAACAACTCCTTGCTTACTAACAACTCCTTACTTACTAATAACTCCTTACATACTAACAACTATAATTTTTCATTGCTGAAAGGGGTTGCCCCCTCCCCCTACCTGCAAATCTTGGCTCCACCCCTGAGTGTGTGAAAGGGTCAAGTTTGTATTTGCAGTAAAGTCTATTAACTCTATTGGGCACGGAGGTTATATTAAAATAGTAGTTTATTTTTGTTTTCCTCTGCAACTCTTAGTAAGAATGTAGTCAGGAAGTTATCACAGCACACGTGCAGCTGAAGTCGGAACTGTTCATCCCAGCATTCAAGGACATCTGTGCCTGGCTTTCACACCTCTAAGTTGCGATTGAACATTCATTTATGCATGTCTGCATAACACAAGTAGTATTATTTTCAACACCCTTTGCTATGTCAGCTGAATTTAGCTTTCATAAATATTCCTTTGGAAGCCAGACAGCCGAAATTGTGTGTTCGGGAGTTTTGGGTTAACATTCATTTTGAAGACACGAGGGCTTCCAGGCACGTTTATGACCATTTGCCCTCTAATTGTGTGCCATAACAGCCCGTGTGATGAATTTGGGACACGTTTTCACTATAACATGAATATATGAATAAGTATAGACGTGTGAGTCACGTGTGACTGTATGAATGCATTCCTCTGTGCATCGATACTGACGTGTAGATGGTGTGGATATTCTTTTTTTCTGTCTGCAGCTGTCGCTTCCTCTGCAGAATTGGTCTGATGAAGCAAAGGCACTCGGCGCGGCTCGGTGCATATAGCACGGATCGTCCTGCACATTTGAAATGGCACCAGAGAACACACACGGGAGAGAAACCCTTCAAGTGCAGTGTGTGTGGGAAGGCGTTTGCACAGTCATCAAATCTTAATGTACACCAGAGAACCCACACGGGAGAGAAACCCTTCAAGTGCAGTGTGTGTGGGAAGGCGTTTGCACAGTCACCAAATCTTCAAGTACACCAGAGAACCCACACGGGAGAGAAACCCTTCAAGTGCAGTGTGTGTGGGAAGGCGTTTTCAGATTCATCTCCTCTTGTAGCACACCGGAGAACACACACAGGAGAGAAACCCTTCAAGTGCAGTGTGTGTGGGAAGGCGTTTGCACAGTCACCAAGTCTTCATGTACACCAGAGAACACACACAGGAGAGAAACCCTTCAAGTGCAGTGTGTGTGGGAAGGCGTTTGCACATTCAGCAAGTCTTCATATACACCAGAGATCACACACGGGAGATAAACCCTTCAAGTGCAGTGTGTGTGGGAAGGCGTTTGCACAGTCACCAAGTCTTAATGTACACCAGAGAACACACACAGGAGAGAAACCCTTCAAGTGCAGTGTATGTGGGAAGGCGTTTGCACATTCATCAAGTCTTCATGTACACCAGAGAACACACACAGGAGATAAACCCTTCAAATGCGGTGTGTGTGGGAAGGCGTTTGCACAGTCACCACATCTTCATGTACACCAGAGAACACACACGCATCAGAAGATCCACAAGGAGTGGAGTCTGAAATCGGCTTGTGAAAGTCAAAGTGCCGCAATGAGCCCATCCCTCATGAAACAAGAACCGGAAGAAAATCCCAGCTTGGACACTTTTAAAGGTATCGAGGTGAAATATGAAGAGGTGAAGGTGAAATGTGAAGAAGTGATGGTGAAGAGCGAAGAAGTGAGGGTAAAATGTGAAGATGAAGATTCAACTCCAAAATCAGACCTTCACATCGATGGAGGCAACGTGAAGCAGGAGGAGAATTCTGACTTTGAGGCAGAGCGAGGCAACTCCCAGCAGTTTGTGGAAGTGGAGGTGTGGGTGGACTTCCTCCGAGACATTACAAAGTCAAATGGAGACCCGGTAGATATGTAAGCTTGAGACGATGTCGCTCCAATAGATGCACCTTTGTCACAGGCCTTTAATGACAAGAATGAGAAGTTGAACACTCAATTCCTAGGTTCAACCTGCAGGGTAAGAGCGGCCAGTCTTTGTGAACCTGTGGGTTGCGTAGATCTCTAACCATGAGCGAGAGCCAATAAGCTTCCAAGCAATCACAAGGTTCTAATAATTCCATTTATATGGTGCTTGCTTAATCGCCTCTGGCAATTCGGAGTGTTGTGTTATATCTCGTCTCAAACACTCGAAGAGCACCCCCAAGTAGCAGCTGCCCCTGTGTGGTACAAAGTGGTAGCCCTGCACCGGCCTGCATGTGGACAAGAACCTGTCAGTAGGGGGCGATGGTTGATGTGGCATCTCAGTTGTGGAGTTTGTAGGTAACGTTTAGAATTTGATAAATTTTGACCCAGACGCCAGCATGCAATGGCCTACTCGTTTTTGAATGGCGCAATAGTATGTTGTACATACACTGTTAAGCGTATTTGTAAAAAAAAATAGCTTGTTAGTACGATATAACCTGATGCAGTATATTTCACTGCAGTAATTCGATTTTGTTAATATGCCTGTCAATAATTGAGAATTGTTGCATATGAGCCTTTTCCAAAATTGATATTAACAATAATATTTGCCGTTATATATATTTTTTTAAACAATAAAAATTAATCAATAAAACCCGTAAGCCAGGCACACGAAAAACCAGATGTCGATCATAAACAGGCCATTAATAAATAAATAATAAAACTCTCGAGGCGAGGATGTTAGCAGCTATCTGCGAAGATCTCCAGATGAACAAGAGTTTGATGGGCCCTAAGGGAGGTCACCCAGAGGGAGCCCTCCGCAAGCCAGAAACGAGGACGCCCACGGGTTAAACCATATATATTTTTTCCTTTGTCATTAAAACAACGGTTAAAATTTAAAATGCAATAACAAGAATAAGCTAAAGTTAGCGGTCCTCGCGCTCACTCCAATTAATACCAGGCCACCAGATACATCAGTGAATTATTATCCAATGATTAATTCGCTATCAAATGATTTTCACCTTTAATACTTTTACTGTTAAAACAAAGCTTGGAGACAAAACACAGAGTCACATCAAAGGTTTTCGAGAAGGAATGAGACAACGGGCAAACTTGCGAAAGAGTTTAAACAATATCCCAAGCAACCCCGACCACCTTTGTCTCTCGCAGCGCGGAGAAGCAGGAACCACACGTTATCACAAGGGGCCATCTGGAGCTAGCCAGACGGGTTAATGATAAAACACACAACAGCCAGCGAACACGTTTTTCAGTTAAAGAAGTGGCTACACATCAGTCACACATAAAATTTATAATAACGTGTTCACCTTACACGACATTCCATTATAGAACCTTACAGAACCAAGGGATATAGATTCCAACAATCAAGAAACGGACCTCTTAAACTCAGGATGAAAATTATTTTTCTTTTTAATAATTCCATCGTAACAATGCGAACCTCGGTAAACCGAGAGGGGTGTCGGGAGGACGTAGTTACAAGCACGAGTCTTGGCGAACATGGGACCAAATGGTATTTGAGAAATATAAAGTCGAAAGTATAAAGAGATAGGTACTCCCGACCACCTTTGTCTCTCCCGCAGAGCGCGAGAGAGGAATTTCACGCCAGGGCAAACATCGTTATCGCAGGTGCCATCTGTACACACACACGAACTCACACACACGAACTCACACACACACGAACTCACACACACAGACCACGCCCCCCCCCCTTCACTGCAAAGAGAGAAGAATGTATTTGAATATAACGGTCAGCGCATTTTCAAAAAGTTAAGTTAAGTCAGTCAAGACAGATCAGCGATTCAAGACGTCCACAAGACGAGGAGTCGCATGGAGCGGCTGGCTCCGAGCCTCGCTGAGTAGCGAGGATCGCTGAGTCGCGATGTATCAACGAGATTGAGTCATACAGCAGTGGAGAGAAACTGCTGTCAGCGAACCAGCGCGGGCGCGTTCGCGCACTTCAACAGAGAGAGCACGTGCGACTCAACTCACTCAACAGAAGAAAACGCTTGGCCAGCCGCCAACAAAGTATCAGCGAATCAGCGCTGAGAGCGCTCGAGCATCTCCACAGAGGAAGCACGTGCAACGTGGCTCAACCAGCAGCGGAAAAGCACGAGCAGCCGCCAACAACTTCAGCAAACCAGTGACCAAGCGCGTGCGACTTGAGTCATACAGCAGTGGAGGAAACCTGCTGTCAGAGAGCCGCCATCAACCTCAACAAAGAGAGCGCCTGCGACTCGGCTCACTCAGCAGAATGAAAAATTTGACCTGTCGCCCGCGAGCGCAGCGTCGGATACTACAGCAGCGGGAAGAGCGCGGCCAGCAACGCCAAGCAAGAGCGTGCAGCAGCTCATCCAGCAGTGGAGAGAAACTGCTGTCAGCGAACCAGCACGGGCACGTTCGCGCATCTTCAAGGAGAGGGAGCGTGTGCCACCAGCGTGCCATCAGCACCAGCATCAGCACCAGCGCGTGCCAACAGCGTGCCATCAGCACCAGCATCGGCACCAGCACGTGCCAACAGCGTGCCATCAGCACCAGCATCAGCACCAGCGCGTGCCAACAGCGTGCCACCGGCGTTCCACAGCGCGCAACTTCGCGTCACCAGCGCTGAGAGGGCAGCGGCCCCGCACTCAACACCCATCGGCGCGACGACGGCGAGCGTCGTGCTGACTCATCCAGCCAGCGGTGGACAGAAACTGTGACGAGCCGTTCGTATTCAACCCCTCCCCCACACTCTCCCCCTCGCTCCCCCACCGCGCCGCAACACACAGGAAACACATTTTGGACACCAGAGATGCTAACCTCGGCGTCTGCTTTACGCAAAGAATTGAACCAGTGATAAAGAAGACGCACGATACGCATATCGGGATAATCAAGAAGGGTTGCCACTCCAAGGTGGTGCATTAAAAATCAATTCATAACGAAAAATACTGCTGTCATTGAGTTGCATAATAACCAATCGTCCTACTGTTAACAGCGTGATAAGAATTGACTTGAAGGTCTATGAATGGATGTGGTACTGTGTGGGCGATGTTTAAATACGAATTTACATTATAAGGTTAAGGTTTTGATAGAATAGTTTGCATGTATTAATCTCTCCCTCAACAACCGATCGATTGCGTTACGCGTCGGGAATTAACCACAGGTGCCGTTATCAAAGTGAAACGACGCAATCGTGATGGTATCATGTTAACGCTGTGTTGAAATTCCAAGATCGAGAGTTTTCATATTATTCAAAAATTAAAGTTAGCTAGAAAATAAAATTTATTAAAGCATAAAGGTTGTGTGTGATTCTTCCTGAAATTCTGCGTAATATTGTTCTGCGTATGAGATCTGAATCCTGGGGACCTATCATAAGCACACTATCACCACACATAATCCATAACACACATAATTCATAATGTTCAATCGAGAGTAATCGTATCCTTATCGATAATACGGAATTAAATAGCAGAGTCGAATCGACTCTCTCTCATTCATGCTCACAAGACCTACAGAACTGCATACGATCAATTGCGTTATTCCAATTCATAACACAATCCTCGTCACCGAGGCTCGACCTGCATTATCATAACCACGCCCACTCTCATAAATTAATACAAGTATCTCTCGAGTCAGCATAATTTATGTGCATAATTACACCAATTAACATAATTTCGGATAAATTATGCAAATTTTAAATTTCATTTAATTTTTATCATTTTCATCAATTTTCATAACACCTATATGTACAACAGAATGAATACTTGTCTGTGTGTGTACATGTAACATTTTGTCTATAAGGGGCAAACATTGAATAAGTGATGTTAGGACAAAGTGTGTGTTTTGGAAGTAACCTGTACAGATAACTCAGGTGAGACTCATTGCTCTTGTGATACAGGTCAAAGGGTATTTTTGCTTTTTCAGGAAGCATCTCTCGTCTGGAGCAACTCATTGTCTTTGAAATAGGGAGCACACTCGGATCATTAATCAGTTACAAGGCATACCACTCAA